TATCTGCAGGTGCCAACAGTGGCAGAGGTCAGACCTACGACAAGCAGGTAGGCTCTGGCTGCAAATGGGAGGTATGGCACAGGCCCTGGGAAGTGATGTCCTCTTCTGCTTTTCAGAGTTACTAAAGAGCAGACCCAGAGTTGAGGATTTCTGATGGTGTGTTTGGCAGAGAGCCAGGGATGGTCAAGGCTTCAACTGCAGAGCTGAGGGCCCTCTGCTTTCCCTCGGCCTCTGCGTGGGAAGCACAGAGGGACCACAGTGGTTCCTGTCCAGCCCTGCACTTCACCGTCACTGGATTTCTTTTGCTTGTGTGTCACACAAAGAGGGAGAGTAACATCCCCGGGACAAAGCTGGAGGTCCTCACCTTTTACATCACAACCTCTTGCAGGGCAGGAGCCACCAATTATTGCTGCATGTCAGTGACCCCTAAGGTAGAATTCTGTCCTCTCGCTAGCCAATCATCTCCCTTCTAGCTAGAGTGCAGGGACGGGTTATCAGTCCTCCTGCAACTGTTTGTTCCCGGAGTCTGAGGGCTCCTCTGGGGATGCCCAGGCTTAGGTATATACAGCCTTAACTACAGTTGGTCATGCCTTTGCTAACACTGTGAGGGCTGGAAATTATTCTTCTGAAGCTTTTGACAAATTTTTCATTATCACCTGTGTGATTTATTATTGTTCTGACAGGACACCCCCAATCTCCCACCACCCCATACCATGTCTCAGTCCCCATGCATCTACGCCGATGTGCTTGTTCCCTTCATGGATCTATTTAACTGAGAGGTGGTGGTGCAAGCCTTTAATCCCAGCACTCTGGAGCTAGAGGTGTATTTCTCAATTCAAGGCCAGAGTGAGTTCCAGGACAGTCAGGGCTACAAAAAGAAACCCTGTCTCTAAAAAAAGTAAAAATAAAAAAACCCAACCCAAAACAGAATATATATTTAAAGTAGCACGGGTTGCCCTTCATCAAGAGCAGAAGTCTGTATGTACACTGTTTCTCCTGGGGCTTGAGCTGAAGGAGGAAACTACATTCCAGCACCGGACAGAAGAGGCCGACATTACTCAAACAGAAGACGGAGAAAGATACAGGGTTGGCTCTGCAGCTCAAGGGTAAAAAAAGTACTTAGCACGCCCTAGACCTTTTGATGAATGCACACTGTGCTGGTAAGAGCACACAAGCGCGCGCGCACACACACACACACACACACACTCACACCCCACAAAACAGAAAGGATATCAAATGAAGGCGTGATAAGTACACCAACACAAACGGACTTCAAACGCCTGAAAGTAACATGACTTTTTTTTGAGAATCAAGGAGGATGGTCCGTATATTCATGCTATTATCAAGAAATAAGACTTAGGTTAGGCATGGTGGCACAGGCTTTAGTCCCACCGTTTGGGAGGCAGAAGCAAGTGGATCTCCGTTGAGTCTGAGTCCAGCCTGAACTACTTGCAAGACCATCAGGGCTAGTGAGACCCTGAAATAAGGAAGGTGGAGAGAGGAAGAGGGAAGGGAGGGAAGTCGGTCATGAATAGGTCAGTAGTCACTAATGGTCTTGCTGTAGTAAAGTAACTAAAAGTAACCTGACCTGGGTGTGAATAACGTTTGTCAAAAACAAGGCTGCAGTATAATAGAACGCGCACACAGCTCTGTTGAAAGGCGTTCAGTTTCTTTCCCCCCCATCCCTCCCCCGCCCCCCCATGGGGCAATTCTGGAAACAGGCTGTTGTGAGCTGCACAAACGCAGTGATCCCAGAATCGCGCAGGTGAGCTTGTAGCAAAATATCGCTGGGCAGAAGGACGATAGTGCCGT